GGCAGCCATGTTCGAAATTTCAACATAGATTACACCAAGTGAAATTGCTGCAAAAAGACATTGATATCGTGAGTTGTCCTCTAATGGTAATGAAAATATAAAGATGAGTATGACACAGTAAACAAAACATGTCGCCGGCAGTCGGTTGTTTTAATTTTAAGTGGATTATTGAAGTCGTCCGCCAATGAAACGCCGCCGTAGGATTCTGTGGCACCGATATCGTATTTAAGAAATCCACTCCCCGCACTCGAGGAGGTCTAAAATCTATACCATGCTCGTAGTAATCCCTCACCGCGCCGCTTATGCACTGAGCTCCGAACAGTAAAACAGCAGAAAAGGTCTGTTTTTGTAGCCATGGCGAGGCCTTCTTGCCGCAAATTCTTAACGACATCCCGTTTCCATATCACTCGCCACATCTCCTCTTCTTCCTCTTGCTCTGAAGCTCTTCCTCCCCCTCCCATTCCCTCTCCCCGCAGAGTCGTCGTTACCGGTACGGTAATACGCACTCCACTTTAACGATTCAATGCTTCAATTAGTTTATTGTTGTTTGCATGTTTTGGCATAGAATTATTATTGTTGGGTGCTGGTCTGTTTCAGGTCTGGGGTTGGCGACTCCGCTTGGTTGCGGAGTGGAAAACGACATGGAAGCGGTTGATGGAGGGCAATTGTTGGATAAGGGCGATAACGCCTGAAGATCTCAAGATGGGTGCTTTTGATAGAGAGACTCAGTTGCATATATTTGATCAGATGACTTCTAAAGTTGCGGCGACTGTGCCTTGTGGAATGGGCTCCGGTGATTTCAATGAGGAATTGTGCCTTAATTCAAAGGTAATATCCTGTTATGAGTCTTGAGTTTTTCTGTTTATCGGAATATAAATGGATGTTACTTCAATGATTTTTTTTATGGTAGAATTTCTCCGGTTTGGGGATATAAGAGTTTAGATAGAAATTAGAGCTTTTTGATCCTTAGGAAATTCGTCATTGACGTTGCAAATGCAAGTGGTTTTAGAGCTGAGTTTTTAGCTGTCATATTGCTGATGGAAATTAGGTGAAGCTTGACCTTAAACTGACTGTAAGATTACCATGGCTTTCCATGTCCTTCAGGGGTCTGAATAAGAAAGGGACATCCTTTGCATCTTTAGCAGTGATAGTACTTCTAGTTGTCTGGTGGTGAAATGCCAATATACTTAATTTAGTTTAGATACATGTGCAGTGTCCAATACCTTGCTGGATGACTTGTTTTCCATGATTAGCTGTTGACTTTAATTTTTTCGAGGCTTACCAAGTATATTGAAATGATCGAGTTTATACATGTTATTAGTTCCTTGTGTCATCAACAGCAACCTTTTTTTCTCAGGAGCATTGATCAATTGCAAGGTTTATTGCCTATGCTCTTTGTACAGGTGATGAAGCTTTAAAAGATGCAAGATGGCTGCCCATTGAGCAGGAAGAGAAGGAAAGAACGGTAGTCATTTGTTTACTTCTATGTCATTTTTATCTTTTCTCTTTCAGAATTTAATAAATTTGCTAAAAGCAGGGGGTGTCCATTGGTGGAGGGATTGGGGCATCAGTGATATATTAGATGCAGCACAAATGATATGTGAAAAGGTTGTTTAATCATGATACTCAATTTAATTATGATTATTGCTACTATCATATTTTTTTGTGTCTTCATCATCTTCGGCAGTTCCCCCTACATTAGCTATTGGCTTGAAATTATGCTACTTGGCCATGTAAACAGTTGAAGCAACAAGTGAAAGATCTGCTCCTTTAATACAGTGCCTTCGTCGGCTTAGTCCATTCTTCATTCCAAGGATATTAATCAACATGGCTTCTCGTCACATGAGCATAAATATGGATTCCAGGTGTGTATGTAACCTTCAAATGTGATATTTTCAGGAGCTCATGACAACTTTAAGCCAGTCATGCAGCTAGTTTGTGATGCTGTACTTTGCTTGCAGTAACTTGTTGAAAGGAGACTCAATTTCCTAGTGATCTCAGTCCCCTGTTTCATTCACTTTTATTAAATAACCCTTTTGAGCTTGGAATAGAACTTTTGTGGTTCTACAATATAAATTATGAATTTCAAATGTTAGTCATTAGACTTTGTCTGGATTTTGTTAGCTACATGAAATGTGGATTAATTATGGAAATTTCATGGAATAATGCACAAATCTGGTAATGGACTCTCAATCAAGAATAAGGAAAACCCAGAACAAGGCTGGCAGCAAGAAGCTGTTACCTCATGCCTGTTTCAATTACTTAACTAATGCTTTTATAAGGTGGATGATATTCTTAAAAGAAAAACTTAGTTTGCTGAATCAGTCCTCATCATACTTGGACAAAACCAGTTCTACCATGGTTGTGATAGCTTTTGAAAAGTTGCTGTTGCACCGTGTAGTCATGTTTTTGAATATAGGGACCAAACCATGCTGCAGTGACCTCTTCTGCAACTGGTGCACATTCTATTGGTGATGCTACTAGAATGATTCAGTTTGGGGATTCAGATGTTACGGTAGCTGGGAGCACAGAGTCCAGCATTGATGCTTTATCAATTGCTGGATTTTTCAGGTAGTTATTAACCAAAATCATATGATGTTTCTAACTAAGAAAATTTCTTTCAAATATGTTATTTGTACCTTTCTTTAGATACTTGAACAGTATTTTGACCAGGAAACTCAAAAACAACCCTTGGTGATTTTTATAAAAGGGCTCTTGCCAATGTAGTGACTTGGAACTCTGGGGATTTCAGCCTAGACTTACTAATAATTTTTCTAGAATCCTTTTATTAAAGTTGCTAATTTTACCTTTTCTTGTTCTAGTTTTGAATGTTGTAATATATGTTTTATTTGTTTGGTATTCTATTCAGCTGATAATGATTCTGTTTTGAATTATAGGTCTAGGACTTTG